CTATATAATCATATAAAATAAATATCAATGAAATAAAGTAGAGAATGAGATAAACATGTATTTATTTATATGAAGAGTAATCTCTCTCAAGTTTGACGTTGACGAGTTTTGTGGAAAATTCTATAACAAATTTCTTCTTTTGATGCTATTTTCAATTCTTGTCGACAATGTTTAACGAACAACCTAACATCACACGCTATTTCGACTTGACACCTCACCAAATTACATTACATGAATAATTATATTTGTATATTCTATCGGTAAACATCTAAAATGTCACTGGTTTACTTGATGCCCGTTCGTCCAACTTCTCATGCTATTACTCTCACTCTCATAATAACCTTAGGGTTTGGATTTAAAAAGTGTTGGAAGTTGAAGGTTAAAGAATATCGTCAAAAGGATGTTTATAATTGTTTAAGGTTTACTACTTGAATTCTAAAAGATGATAGTAATTGATGGGTGTCATTCTAATAGTCACCAAAAAGAAGTTATGTTGGGTGTATCTATAACTATATATAATGGTAAATTTTCATGTAATAGTAATATTTCCACAAGGGTCCAATGTTGAGAGAGGATTGTTTGTCAACATATGATTTTGGTGTACTCATTTTTATTATAAATTTATTCTTTTTAATTTTTATTTTAAATTTTAACTTATATGAGAGTTTATTAAGTTTTATATTATTAATTACACAATAACTTCTATCAAACAATTATTATCATCTTTTAGATAATTTCTTACTGATTACTTCTGACATAACTTTCTCTCCCTCTTTCTCTCCCCATGAGAGTACATATCATTGCCTTAAAAAAAATTAATATCACAATTAATTGCACAAATTATAAAAATTAAGATAATAGGTGTACCTTTAAAAAAAGTGCAGGTATAATACTGTGGAAGACTGGAGTGTAGAATTATACCATGAGAATGTATACACAGTAAATATTATGATTAAGATATATAAAATCCAAACTATATAGTATTTGTTTGAAGAAATTGTATCATGTCTCTTCATAAATGAATAAATAAGATATGTTAGAATACTCTACACATGATTTATCGATAGATTTTCGAAGTCTCCATCAATTCCGCCCACAAAAGCATCACCTTCCATTGCAATTTTCTTTTGATGTTAGATTTGAAGGGTTTCAATCAATTATATGAAAGAAATAATTCACTTAAAATTAATACTTTCCTTGTAAACTATTTTTAATATGATCCAACTTTTTTGCACGAAATTTCTTCTAGATTTAGATAGTACACAATAATACTCTAAAAAATCAATAAAAAATGTTAAGCATAAAAAAAGTAGATCATCAATAAAAGTTTTTTTTTTCGGGATTAATAAATACGCAATAATAGAAGGCATCAAACAATAATTAGAATAGCAATATATTTCATAGATAGTAGTAATATATAACTAATTTTCATGAATATTTGTACACATTACAGAACTTATAAAAAATATGTGAAGAAACAAAATAAGAATCATACACCGAAACAAAATAAAAATCATAGTAAATTAAGTAATAAAATAAGGGTACAAATGGTAGAAAAATAAATTACACCAAAATAAAGTATTCTCTTTATATATTGTATAGATAATAATAATAATAATAATAATAATAATAATAATAATAATAATAATAATAATAATAATAATAAATTAATTAAATAAAAATTATTAAATAAATAAATATAAACAATAGACAACTATTTTACCTATATCCACATTTGTAATGGGTTACAACTAATATCACTTTACAAACTTGAAATCAAAACACTGTTTGTTGGATGAACTGAAATTATATCATTAGCAAGAATTTTATTCCTATCAATATGTTTGACAAACAAATAAAAATTTTCAAATTATTTTTAATTTCATTTTAATTAAATTTAAAAAAAAATTTAAAAATTTATAAAATAAAAAAGAAAGTTGTTCTGGAAAAGACACTTCTATCCTTTTCTATTATTCTGTCATTCGATTTTGAAGCATTTTGCTCTAAATATTACCTTTTTTTTTTTCAACTAAACTATCATATTTGATTACTATTTATTCTATTTGCTTCCACTTTTTAGTATAATGTAACTGATTGAATATCGATTGGTTCAACATAAACTATGTTTTCCATCTTTTTGTCTTAACTAAAGTTTCATCATATCACAATTGTATTTGAGTGCATTACTCTCTCTTTCTCTCTCTCTCCTATTCAATAGAATTTTCAAAACTCTCTCTCCATTTCTTAGATCTGCATATCTTCTTCTCCAAATGATTTTTTCATTTCTCTCCTCACAAAAATGCATTGTCTTTCTTTCTTTCTTCCAACTTTTTCTTTGAACACAAATCTCACTCTAACCTCTCTTGCAAACAAAAATCAAATTGCCTTGATGAAAGTGGAATCAAGAAGGAGAAACTGGATACAAATCAGAATAGGGGAAAGGGAGGTGGATCTGGCGTTTCCGACAGTTTTACGGTGGTGCGCGGTTTCGTGATGGTAGATCTGTAGTGGTGGCAATGTGTTTCCGGTGGTAGATCTATATTCCTTCGGATTCTTTGTTAGCCTACACATGTTAGGCTTCACTAAAGATAGAAATTGTATGCTTATCATAGAATATTTATGCCATTTTCGGGTTCTTGATGCTCTGAGAGAATGTTAATGTTTAATGAGTATATTCTCTGTCATGAGTCAACGTTAATGCCTAATTTTGATGTTTATAGAAAATGAGAGTTGGAGAGACACATTACAACACTTGAAAAGTGCTTATTTTGCTTGGTGCCACCACTAAAGAATTATAAAATTCCTATCAAATGACCTCTTAACAGGAAAAAGGATCAAAAATGGAGCATCCAAGTACATAGAGATGTATCTTCTGTTCTTTTGTTTGTTTTTATTTTTTATGAGGTTTATGCTAACCTTTTTTTTGGAATATTTTCTTTATTCATATTGTTTGTTGTTTATTTCAGAACACAACAAAATAACTATTTTTAACGTATCAAACAATATTTTCTTTTACAATAATACAAACTCATGGTTTTTAATATTCTCTTATTTATAATATATAAATACATTTTGAAATAGTTATATTATTTTAATTGCTAAATAAAATATTATTATTTAACTTATGCAGCTATTTTTATTGTTGTTATTGCTCTGATTCTCTTCATTTGATTTGGTTTTTAAAAATTATTTTCCTAAAAATTGTTTATATTCTAAATCAAATTTAATTCTTTGTGTAAATCAAATTTAAATCTATTTGTTCAAAAGAAGTTTAAAATAATAACCAATATGAAATTCATAATTCATTTTTAGAATCAATTTTAATGCCTATTGATTTCTCACACAAAATTTAAATATATATTATTTATCATAAATGATAAATCAATAGCTTTAATAGATATTTAAATTTGACATTCATAACCAATTAATTTTTTAGTTGATATTTTCTTTTGTAAAATCTGATGTCCAACTCAATCTTATAGAAATAACTAAATTGAAAAATGTTGACATGATAACTCAAGCATAGTTGAAAAACAATGAAGTAATTTCAAAATACCTTTGCACGCCTATCAATACTTTGACAGTGAGATACATATATGATGAGAAGAGATTCATAGCTCTTGCAGAGTAAAATAATAAGTAGGTTTGTTGTAACAGGAATGTTAGAATTCAAAACTTCCATTTACAGTTGTAGATTTTAAAACTTTTTTCCTAAATTGATGTTACGCTCTAAATTGATATTGCTAAATTTAGTTTATTCCTCTTGATATTTGATGGATTAATTATACACTTGATGCAGTATATATTTATCTATTAAGTTTAGATATCCATGCAATTTTATTTGAAAGATTTTGTTTTTACTCATATCACTTTGTTTGAATATGAAAGTTTTTGTACTGTCTCAGCTTTGAAAGCAATTGGTAATACTTAATTTTTTTATAACAAATTGCAAGTGTCATTTATATAACTTTACAGTATAAAGACTATTACTGGTTCACAATCTGTCACATCTAATTAGACTAAGTTGACTGTAGTTGGTATTATGACCACAATCATACCTTTAGACATACAATTTCTGATATTTGAAACACAGAAAATTGGTCCAACTTTTCTAACTTGCAAATGAAGCTTAATCATAGGTCAATGATACCAATTTCTGATGGAGTACGATCTTTGACTCCTACTGGTGCAAAAGTCACACCATAAACCACTATTTGCATTACTCTCACTTTCATTCTAGTAGACAAATGCTAGTTGTCTCCATTTAGTGGAACCTTTGTCTTTTTTTATGCTCTCTATTCACAACTATATTGATGCTTTCACTTCACAATATAATTCACACCATAAAACAATATTTTATCATATTTGATGCTCTCAATTCACAATATTTGAGCCTGCTTTGCAGCTTCAAGCATGAGCACAACCAATTTGTAAAGTCTAAAACTTTTAGCTAAAGCAGGTAATATAGGCATCATCTATGCAGCAAATCAAATTGAAGCTATTAGCGCAACTTATTCACTATTGAGATTGTATAAACCACGCACATAAGTGTATCCTCGAGCTAAATCTAATGGCAGGCGCCCTGTCTACTTCAGAACCCCGATACCAGCTAGTATTCTGCCTCTAGAAAATTACGAATTCATGTCAAAATAATAAAGCTTAGAACACACAAAGAGCTTACCAGACCCCAAAGTGATGGAGGTTTCTAATGTTTCAAAGCCGCTCATGAGATACAACAGTTTCATTGATAATTGACTAGCGATGGAACATGCCTTGTAAATATATAGCATCCAGCATATAGAAATGACTATTCAACTATCAATGATGGAATCAAATAATAACAAACATATCCTAAAAATTCACACCAACACAAGTTGGTGCTTCAAATAGATAGCATACACTAGTGTTTCAAATAGATATAATAAATCACGGAAACTAACATAATCAAACTCAGAAATCATATGCAGAAATTGTTTCAAAATGTTTTGGAATTTTTCCTACTAGTTTGTTTTCCCATCGTAAATAACTTCAACTTGTTTTGACGCTCTCTTCAAACTATTTAGTTTGGTGACCAACTCTGGTTTGACATTTATACTAGGCTTCACATACATCTGCTCTAGCAATGGAGAATATAGAAGTAGATATTTGATTAAAGCTAATTCAGATCTGGTACCCGAGATGTCTACTATCCTCACATGTCGTACTCCGAGGGGTATGGTTGGCCTAGAAAAGACATCTTTCCTACGATAAGAGACCTGTGGTAAGAGGGCAGCCCCCCTGTCCTCCTCGTCCTCGTCCTCCGTCTCCTACATGCAATGGTTACAAATTTATGGATCAAACGGAAATGAGGTAAAGTTGTGTGCATGAGATATAAAGCACATTAAAACTATGAAAGTAACATTGTATTTACTGATAAAAAACAGAAAACTAAAATGAAGTACACAAGTCTCTTACATATAAAACTTTGCCGTACTGATATTGTAACTAACTTCATTTAAATTGCAACTGATTCATAACTTATGTTAGCAAATCATAACTCACAAGTACAAGTCTTAGACAATAAAAAGATTTCAACTCTACTAATTAACATTTGAATAGGTAGAATTGAATTTTACTAGTTTACATAAAAACAAAAACACAATGTGCAAGTGCAACCAAAAATGAGAAAGGAAAGCAAAGTCAAACCAAACAAAATGAATACTCACATATAATTCTATTTTTCGAAGATTAGGTGAGCTTCTGAGCAAGCAAAGAACAGCCGAAATTTCCTTCAAGTATTTGAAGCGTATACTTAACCTAAGATAACTTAGATTGGTACAAGATGTAGGAAGCTTTACAGGCACAACACCAGCAGCAGCCAAATACTGAAACAAAAAAGAATGGTGTAAGAAATGCAATGGTTAGAGCTCAAAAAGGACGACAACGGAAAATTAAAAGAGGTATAACTGTAAGTCTGCACTAGAACACTAATTATTTTCTTGATTATTCCTTTGCATCAGCCATGTTTATATAGATACACATAATCGAAATTACAGAAATCCTATTAGATGGTCAAGTATTATACCTTTAAAAAACAGCTATGGATCTCTAGGCTCTGTAAGTGAGGTAGATGACTGAAAAAGTTGAGCAAGTTGTTAGAGCATCCGTCCGATCTACTTTGATTGCTTTCAATGTTCAGATACTTGTTTAAATCAAGAGTAACCTTAATTAGTTGGAAAGTGTTTTCAAAGATAATACTCTCTAATTCATCACCCACGATGTGAAAAATCCCAAAAATCTTGAGATTTGGTGCGCGAATAATAGCTTGGGTGAAACTATCAAGAAATGCCAATGTCAAATCTTCAAGCAAAGGGCATCCGGATATCAAATTTTCTAAGGCATCTTGAGTTATTGAAACATCATCCAATCTAAGAATTTTCAAGTTCCTAAAGCCTTTAAATGTAGATGGAGGATTAATCCAACAAAGATATAATTCTAAACGATGTAAACTTTGACAAGAAAATAAGCAGCAAGGTAACTTATAGGGCTGCCCATTCCATACCTCCAGCTCAAGCTCTTTGATAGACCTTCTGGTTAAATAAAGTATCCAGTTATCCAAGTTAGCCACACAAAAGGGTTCTTGGTAGAAGAGCACAAACTTGTTGATTGGCCCAGAATGAAGTGAAAGTATATGATCAATAATTGTCAAAAGTTCACTTGCAATACGTGAAGGGCATCGGTGGGAAGCTGCAGAGACACATTCTCTAACAAACACAAGATTTGGTATGGTGGTCCATTTGTACCTCCATATTTTTGATAAAACACTTGTTGTCACAGCATGCCTAATGGGCAAGTGTGACAGAATCTGATCTATTACATGACCCGGTAAACAAGTAATTCTATCCTCCGGCTCCGCATCAATCACGGTTCGGCGAGGAGACTTGGATGGTTTTGTTGCCTTTAGATAGATACAAATTGATATTGAAACAAAGGGAACATACAAGAATCAGAAAACAAGCTAAGTTAGTGTATATACATATGCGTATATGTATACTAGAAATCATGCTAGACAATTAGTAAAAGTTACCATATGAAGCTACCGATTGAGTATATTCCTCTGATAGTGAATGCTACAACTAAAAACAAGAACGTAAATTAGAGATAGAAAAAATAACAGGAAGAGAAAAAGAAAGGATACAAAATCATACCTACGTTGGAAGTGAAGACGAGAGAAAGCAAGAGTTGAAAAATAGGGCAATTTGAAACTATATATAAATTCTGGAATATATCCTAATTGGGCCGTTACTGGACATTTTACTTTATACCCTTACAATTATATTTATATTTATGTTCCTACACTAAAATTTTTTGGACCAAAATATTCTCGTATAAATAGTTATAATTTTTTTTCGTTTGTTTATCGGAAGACTTTAAGTATGTCTTCCGGTTCATTTTTTTTCGTTTATTCACCGAAAATCCTTTTGGAATTCTTCCAGTTTATATTTTTTTTCGTTTGTTCACCGGAAGTCTTTTTACAAGTCTTCTGATTCATATTTTTTTCGTTTGTTCATCGGGAGACATTTTGCATTCATTTTTTTTTTTTTTAATTTTTTTTAATATTCAACCTAACAAATATTTTAATATGTTATTAATTTTGAAAAACTCTCCTCCACCTTCAAATTCTTCCTCCAAAAACATAAAAAGTTTAATTCTTAATAAAAACTTTCAGCTGCTTTAACTTTTCTTTAATCACAAAATTACTCCTCTCCTCAACCTCGATATCTCTCAGCTTTTTGAACAAGCTTCAAAAACTTCCTTTTATAGATCAAAATTTAAAGATTGCACAACAGTCTCTCCTACAATTGCAGTAGAAACTTTATCATAGAATAAAATGTATTATTTGTTAGTGAAAGTCGAAAACATCTTCATCTCCAAAAATATCATGTTAAATGAACAAAACTTTAACCATAGACAAAAATCTCAATTCTTCTATGCAGACCTACGCTTGATTCTTTATCTAGGAATAAAATGGAAGTTAAGCAAGATCAAAATGTTGTAAAAATAAGTAGGCATGAAAAATATTGAAACAATTACACATGTAGAATTGTAAGAGTATCAACACTCCAATGAATTAGAAGGAAAAATCTAAAGATGTTCGGAACTATTTAATTAATATTATCTTTTGTCTAGTTTTCAGTTAACCAAACATTCATTAAAAGAAGAACAAAAACAAATTATTTATTTATTTACATTAAATCTTCGTAGTTGAATATTAAAAAAAATTAAACATTAAAAAAAAACATGAACCGAAAGATTTTAAACAAAAAAAAATGTGAACCAGAAGACTTGCAAAAAGTCTTCCGGTGAACAAACGAAAAAAATTGTGAACCGGAAGACTTGTAAAAAGTCTTCCAGTGAACAAACGAAAAAAAATGTGAACCGGAAGACTTGCAAAAAGTCTTCCAGTGAACAAACGGAAAAAAATGTGAACCGGAAGACTTGCAAAAAATCTTCCGGTAAACAAACGAAAAAAATTTTATACGAGTATTTTGGTCCAAAAATTTTTAGTGTATGGGTATAGGGCAAAATTTCCTACACATCTCCGGGAAGAATCTATTTGTCGTCATCCCTTTTTATACTCTCAATTTTTTATTTATTTCCATATTACCCTCATAAATACCTTTAAGTGAAAATATTGTTTTTTATTGATTGAATAAAAATAGTTGTTGCGATCCACATATTTTCTACATATCATGATTTAGTAAAATTGTTGAACATGTTTCATTTGATATGAATATATAAAAACACATACAAAAAATATGCGTTAGTGTCGTATTACAACTTTTAGCATCAGATTCTTTGATCTTCTGCATATTAGTATAAGCCAATCATGTCTCGCATATTGTCCATGTTATCCGCCAGAAAGAACGTATTGGAATCACAGTTGAATCGGTCGCATTTTAGACCGTTTAAATCGTTTCAACAAATGAGATTTATTTCTAAATCAGACGAAACATTATTTTCTTCCGAGTGGTTCATCCCGCGCTGATAATTTTAGTGCAGTTGTTTTATTTTTCGGGAGTTTCGATGCCTGACTTTTTTGTTCGCATTTATTCTTTTTATTTTTAGTTTTTGTTTAGTTTCTTTTTAATTAATTTAAAGTTAGTTTAGATTTACTTAGAGCATCTTTAGTGGGAGTAAACTACCTGGGTAAACTAAGATACTTTTTGTGGGACCAAAGTGATTTGTAGGATTTAAAAAATTTATAGTTGATTTGAGAAGTTTTTACTTTAATGGTAGTTGTCTATAAGAAACCAAAACTTGACCCCACATAGTATTAAATGGTTAATAAAAATCTATTATTCATGTTAAATAATTAATAAAAATTTATTATTTATGTTAAATAATGAGTTAGAGTACGTTGCTTGTGTAGAGCACGTAAACTAGTTTTAGAGCATTCCATATGCCATGTCAGCACTACTATAATGCAAATTCCTTATTACTAACTTAAGCTATAAAGAATTTTGGTTTAACAACCCTGCACTAAAGTTGCTCTTAGGTAATTAGTTTTTTTATTTTAGTTAACCTTAATTATATATCCTTTTATTTTATTTTTATTTTGGTTAAATAATTTTTCAATTAATTTAAATTTAATTTAAATTTATTTAGTTAATGAGTTTTTTTAATTTTAATTAGATTTTATTTAATATTAGTTTAATAATCATTATTTTCTTATATATTTGATGTTTCGTTTTTTATTGTTCTTTAGAAAACATGTTAAGTTTTAAAGTTTACTTTTATTTTAGTTTTCATTCATTATTTTTCACCATTATGCAGTCAACATACGGGTTTTGGTCTTGTTGCTACCCTCCAAGCTTTCAACCAAAATGGACCCTGCTACAAGCTGCCATAAATAAAGGCCAACCTGCACCTTATGCTGCAAAAACTCTGCATCACAAACCCACAGAAAATACAAAGAAAAGGACTCTGCAGCATCAAACAAAGTGGAGTATTTTGAAAGCAACGAGAGAATGATTTCAAAAATTAAAAAAGAAGGCAACAAAATTCTGTGTGGTTAGGAAAGTAGAAAAGCACAGAAGCTCAAAAAAACTCCTGTTTCAATCACCCTTCTCCTCCACCATTTTTTCTTGACGACAATATCACTTTTTCATTTTTCTTTCCCTTGAACCACCAATATCCTTTTGAAATTGAAGAAGAGACTAGCCAAAAAGCAAAAGATATATGCTTCATTTTCTTGTTACAGTAGCATGTTCTTCTATTTGTTTTTTCAAGCCACAATAAAACCTTACTCTCATTACAACTTAATATCATATCTTCACTCCATGAACACACCCTCACATCTCCTTCTCATGACAAACAAAGAACAATCCTACAACCATTCTTCGCCTACAATTTTCGGCCTATCTTACCTCCATCCCTAACCCTTTACAAAACCGAAGAGACTCCTTCCAAACTCCTCATAAAACCGACCACTAACAAATAACACTTATCTTCCTCCATTTGGTCTGGTTAGAACCAATTGGTCTTGTAACTTAGATTTAAGTTAGAGTTGGTAAACTCTATGTGAGTATCATGGTTATGAGTACTCACTTTCCCCTTTCACTTTGGTTAAAGTCAACCCTAGTTAGGTTAGTTTTCAACTTAGACTTAGAGAGTTGGTTAACTCTATGTAAGTATCATGGTTATGGATATTTACTCCCCTTTGGAACCTTGATCGTTATCAAGAGTTCTTCACCTCTAGTTAGGTGAACTACGGTTTCTCTGATTCCATCCTAGTCAGGATACGTAGGCACGAGATGCGATATCTTGGCGAGCATATTTAGTGTACATACCCTAGATCTTTACCTTAGCACTTTTTCCCTTAACAAGAAAACATTAGCATAACACAAATACTAACAAGAGGTTCTTGTAGTACTACAGATACTTAGGATGATAACACCTTTCCTAGGTATAACCAACCCCCGAATCTTAGATTCTCTAGTTGTGTTGTTACATAGCGCACTTAGGGTTTTCTTCGATCTTTACCCTTTCCTTTGGATAAATCAAAGCTCGGTGGTGAACTTCATGATTTGTGATTCAAGTTAATTAATAGTTTGATATCCGATTCTCACCGCAACAGTTAGCTACCATCGCTTGGAATCATTTGTGTAATATTTATGGAGCTGGTATTTTTAATAGTTGACTTATTCGGAACATGAACGACTGGAAAATTTTATTTGGACATTATAAATACTTAAGTGGCAATTTATCTTATATATGTTACAATGAATGTGAAGGTGAGAAAAACATACAAGAATGAGGTTGAATTGTATTTTCCAATTTTTAATTTTGCCTCTGATCAGAGTTCAGAATTTAAATTGTTGTTCAGATCCTAATTAATACGTTGCAGCAGAATGTTAACATAAGCAAATAAAAGATAAAGAACGCGCATAATTATTCTGGTTCCTCTCAAATAAAGAGTAGTTCAGACCCCTTGCAGCACAACAAATTTTTTAACAATAATCAAAACACGAATACAGTCGCTTATGCACTTAAACATAAGACTTTTCTTGCTCAGAACCTCAGGTTCCTGCTCGGATTCCACGAGTCAAAGACTTCCTTAATCAAGCCTCTCAGGCTCAAGATTTCATTGCTTACACTCTCAAGTCCAAGACTTCCTACTTATACCTCTCAGGCTCAAGACTTCCCTACTCATATGCAGCCTAAGATTTCTTTACAAAGATTCCACGAATCCAAAACTTTTGCTCATACCCTCAAGTACAAGACTTCTGGTCAAACTCACAGTCCAAGACTTTCTTGCTTAATCAACAACTGATCAAGACTTTCAATGCTCTAGCATATAGCAAGAGACTTACTTGGGTCGAGCTTCTCAACAAGAGACTTTGATGCTCAAGCACATAGCAAGAGAGTTTATCTAAACTACTAAATAACATGTTTAGCATAATAGAGAACAATGTGTATTTGATACAAAATAAGAGGTAAAGGGTAATCACCATAACAAAGACCTTAAGCTCTTAAGGTTTCTAAGATATTCAAAGTTTCAGAAATCTTAAGGCTTTGTACAATCTA